GGGGGGGGGGGCAGCCACTACCACGCCACGACCTGGCAGGGACCGGGCCGGACACCGCCGGAGCTCGTCACCAGCGTCTCGGCGAGTACTGCCGCTGCCCCCCCACGTGCCCCTCCAGCTCTCGGTCCACGTTTCTTCTCCCCCCTTCGCAACCCTCAGTTCTTCTCGATTTCATCCACGTCCAGCTCATCGCAGTCCAGGTGGAAGACACCTCCTCCGCCGTCGCTCTTCTCTTTCCTGCCGTCCTCCTCCTCCTCCTCGTCGTCGTCCTCGTCGCTGCCGGTGCCGCTGCTGCCGCTGCTGCTGCGCGCCGCCCGTGCGTACGCGGCGGCGAGGTGGCCCTCGCCCTCGCTGGGGGAGACAATGGTCTCCAGCGCAGGGCTCACGGCCTCCATCTCGTCATCGAGCGAGCACAAGCTCTGGGAGTTCTTCAGCGTCTGCGTGGGGAGACAAGGCGAGAGTGGGGAGACACGGGGAGCGGTGAGAAGGGGAGACGCAAGGGAGGACTCGCTTAGCAACTCCCACGGGCCGCAGCTTTGATAGAGTTCCCTTCATTAAAAATTTCAGGCAAATTAAAATCCCAGGCAGTGGTGAATGGAAAAATCCCAGCAAGCCGCTCCCAGTGCGTGGGATAAAAATAAAGCACCGGAGGCGTTTCCAACAAAGGTGTAAAAATCACCAACACCGCCCAGGTGTGGTTAAGTAGCTTGTACAGCTGTGTTTGCAAAAAATAAACTCGAAACTTTGCTCTTTGGAACCAGCATGTCGATATTAAAATGTACCCATCTGTCTCCTTGTTTGCACGATCCTGCACGTCAGAGGCGAGGGGTAGAGTAACGTATCACATACACTGCACGTAGCACAGCACGCATGCACCACACGTAGCACAGCACGTACTGCATGCACACCGTGGTCAAGGGATGGCCGAGCATCCCTGGAGCCCGGCACCCCAGAGACACTCGGCACTCGGAGCTATCGGCAGGGTCTGCGGAGTCGACACGGCTTGCGGCCAACACCGCTTTGCTGCGGTCACAGCTACCGGCTCCATACAAAGCTCGTGTTGGCGTGCCAGGAGATTGCCACCGTCTAACACACATCCAGCAAGAGCCATGGTGATGCGATGAGGCCAACAGGTGCGGAGGACGTCTGCGACAGAAAAAAATCTATTTAAGGTGTCGTCCCGTGACGGACGTGGAGGGATTTCTCCACCGTTTGCGGCCCATGGGCCCAGCGGCCTCCATAAAGGCTGCAAGGGAGAGACAAGAGGGAAGTGTAAAGTGCACGAAAAAACGTGCGGTGTCAACACTAAAGGTGTCGCGGAGAACGATGGGTCGAGAGGGCGGCCGAGGGCGTCTCCCGCTGATGTGCAGCGGCTTTGCGGTGAACAAACGCGCGGGCCTCGGCACCGCTCTACGAAGGCCCCGCGACCCGCAACGGATTCTGTGACTCGGCCGCTCACTCCTGTCCTTGGGGGCGACGGCGGTGGCACCGTGCATCCTGCCAAACCTGCACCACCCGGCACCGCAACTTGTGCCAATAAAACCCCCGTGCGACACGCGCCGGTGCCAGATGCCTGCCGCGGGGAATCGCGTGTGGCAGTGCTATCGCACGGCTCCTCGGGCGGAATCTGGGCGCGGAGGCGGCTGGGCCGGGGATCGGCAAGCGCGGTAAATCCCGGCAACGACTGCCTCGTGGCTCCGATGGGGACAAAAGCTTTCACAATACGGCTACGGACGAGGGGTCTTTCTCACCTCAACCCCAAATTTTATCACTCGCACGCACGATCGGACATCGTACACCACGACCACTCGCAAGCAAGCTTCCGCCCACACCAAGCGCACGTCGTCGTGCAAGCGCCGTCCGCCACCCCGGCTGCCAAGTACGCCGAGGCCACCCTGGCCCCCCCCCCCCCCGCTGCGTGAATGATGCCGGTGGCACTCGAGAACGAGACGGTGCCACACACACGCAGGTGGACGCGCCCAGCCTGCACCTGAATTGGGCAGCACCCTTCGACCTCTGCCCCCGCGCACCTGTGCTTACCCAACGCACGCCCCCGACGGCGCCGACGCACGTGCGCCCCCCCCCCCTCCCCGCCCCGATCTCATTCATCACGAGTGTGGGCTCGAGTCGCACCGCGGACCATCACGCGCTCGAGCCAAGATGCGATCGAGCAAACATGGGGGCGTAAAACTTAGTAGCAGCGCCAGCGCCAAAGGGTTCGCTCCACAAAGCTCATGCGTCTCCCTGGGCGGCGGTCACCTCTATTGGAGGCCCTGAGCCAGTGGGGTGGGGGGGGGGGGGGTAAATTCCACATTCTCATGAAGCGGACCAGTTTCACCACGGTACGAGCACTGTTTTTTTTATTTTGCACAAAGCAAACCTGACCGGGATTTGACCGCCGTCCATCACGGGCCCCAGAGCTCCTAATCCGCAACTCAGGTTCAAATGCAGACGCGGCCAGGGGGCGTGCGCGCTGCGCCGTAGCCGCCACCACAGCAGCCACGCGCCGCTTTCAAGCGAGATAGTCGGGGCCATTTTGTGAAACGAGAACTTCAGCAACTTCGTCCCCCGCTCGTCAAATGTAACGGGGGGGGGGGGGGGGGGGGGGGGGGGGGAAATGGAAGCGACGATGCTCCCGCCATGGTGCTCGTCGTTGTCCCTCCCATCCGCCTCAAATAACGCGAGCGGGTGGGAATGCAAGTGTTTATATTTTAAATTAGAATCAATTGAGAAATTGCACTTCCACCCCCCCTCCAAGCCCAAAATCTTAACAGCACGCGAAGCCACGTTGCCTCGCCGCCTCTCCTCGACGCTGCGCAGAAAAGAGACGCGCTGCACAGTCCCAGATTAGTGCCGGCCTGTACAGCAACTATTGCAGGAGTGGGTTGTGCATTCCAAAATTGGCGTGTGGGTCTTGGTGGTTTTAGCGGTGGTATTAGCGATGGTATTAGTGGTGGTATTAGCGGTGGTATTAGCGGTGGTTCGAGTGGTGGTTTGAGTAGTGGGTTTAGTGGAAGTTCTGGTGGTGAGTTTAGTGGTGAGTTTAGTGGCGGTTTGAGTGGTGGCTTTTAACAGTTGCTTTGAATTGCTTTTTAAAAACACCGTTACAAGGCGTAAACGAGCAAACTTCCATCTTCGTGGACATAGCGGGGTGTTAATGAGATAATGAATAGACAGGGGCACCTCCTGCACGAGCCTGGTATTTTCGAGGACACACTGGGTAAGTGCGGCACTTTTGGCAGAGCCAGTTCGGACCCGGGCACGAGGGGCCGCATTGCCACGACGCGAGCCAGCGCTAAAAACACTGTGAGCGGAAAACGCAGCTCATGGACGCGTTATTGGAAAAGTCAACCGCGGTTGAAGTTTCAGTCATGAGAGTCGTATATCTAGAGCCAGCAGAGCCTTTTTACAAGACAGCCCTGCATTGGGAAGTTCGGCCCATTCCTTTAATGAAATATTCCGCTCGTTGGAGACACAGAGCTGTGCTGATTTGGACAAAAAATGAGGGCAGCCCTCCCCGGCCCTCGTGGTGGGAGCGGCCGTGGCTCGTTGCCGTAGCGCCGCTGGCAGTCGGCCCACGGGCGCTATAGCAAGACCACGAGCAGAGCTACTTTCCATTAATAGAAAGAAAAAAAGTGACACGACAGCTCCACAAAGAGAATGCCACACGGAGCCAGGCTCGACGGTTGTGGCGAGAGAAGACGCTCAAGGTCTCTGGGCGCCCCAGAGGGGAGCGCGACGTGGCAAGTGCACGGAGCGCGCGGTTCGGCGCACGTGGCGACGCGACATGGAGAACGACGAGAGCGCCGCCGGGATGGGGCGAGGCCGAGACGAACGTCGCTTGCTAAACAGCACCTGCGGGTTTTCACCAGGGGTAGAGGGGGGGGGCGGAACCCTGAGTCACGTGCTCTGGCACCACTGCTGCCGCCACTCGGGATTGGCCTTCCACACCCACGCCGAGCAGGGCCAAAACCCCCACTCACACCGCCCCACCACTCCCCCCCCCCATCACCACCTAAACACCAAGGTCGTGCCACGCGCCCACCACCATTCTGCGCGGCTCCGGACATTTGATTTTAAAACAAAATCCCGATCGTCTGGAATTTGCGCCGTAAAAAGAACCCGAGTCGCGCTCCTCCCGCTCTGCACCCTGGCACATCGGCTCGGCCGCTTCCACGCGTGCCGCCCCCCGTTCCCGCCTCTCTCTCGCCCCGGGACTTGGAAGCAGCGCCCAACCTGCAGCCCATTCAAGGCCATGGTGGTGACCGCCGGGGGTTTCCTCGCCAAGTTTGCAGATTACCAGATTTACGGCTCAATTGTTGACCCCCTGAAGGAGGAGGTGGGGGGTTGGGCATGTCTGCTACGAGTTTTCAATGTAAAACAAGCAGATAAATTTAAACTTTTGTTCAAGCATTGTGTTTATTTCTGTATGGAGCGCTAAGGCCGTTCTTTTTTTTAAGCAGCGATTTATTCCTCAGCCTCCACTGCTCGAGACAAAGGCCACCGCTCCTGGCTGCTGGGCTGTGCTGGGTGTCCTGGTGCTCGACCCAATCATCCCAAGGCAGGACCCTCTCTTAGATGGAGTCTTGAGACTGGGTAACGAGCGAGCGGCCTTCAGCGTGCGACTCCGCGGTTCTTCTTGGGCCGTCCAGGCAACTGCCCGTGCCAAATAGAAAACCCGCAGTCGTATGGCAAGAGAAACGGGGAGGGCCACACCAACTGCGATTACACGCAGCTGTACCCACGAGGTGTCCACTCGGGGCCACCGTGATAGCTCTGTGGCAGCTGGGCAGTGTCTGTGTGTGCAGTCCACACACACACATACGACAAAAGATCCTCCATATAAAGACTGTCAGGGCAATTGCTATTGGCGAGTACCAATTAAGGCAGGCACGACGAACGTGGGGGTGGTTTGATCAGGATGAAATGCAGGCAGCCACCTCCCCAGTGCTGATGGATACACACTGCAACAGGTACTCATTTAAGGTAGAAATTACCCCGGGCAGGCCCGGGACCTGTCGCTGGGAATCGGCTAAGGTCGCCAGCTTTGTTGTGAAGTTCTCTAGCCACTGTGCAACCACTTCACTCTACACACAGACACACGGACGTGTTTGTGTGCGTGCACGCGCGCATATCTGGTGGTATGGACGATGGCCGACTTGCACGCGTAAGGTCGCAGAGTTCAAAGCAGTCAGGGGTCAATTCAGCCCATCCTCATCATCAACCATCCCTTTAGGGGTCAATAAAACGAGCAAAACATTGCGGCGACAAACGCCGGCGGGGCGGTGCCGTGCGCCGCAGCGAGCGCCACTGTGGAACAGGCTTCGCCACGTACCGCGCCGGCAGGCACCTCTCGCTGGTCCCGACCACGGGTTCTCAAACCCCATTTTATGGCACCGCAAGAATGCAGGCAAACAAGCCGCGGCGCATTTGCTCC